TGCTTACAACTTGGGGGGGGGGGAAGGTAAAAAAAAAATAAATTCGTAGTAGAGCAGGGTGTACAAAAGTCTAATCCCACGGATCTAGGTTTTCTGAGTGCAAACACATTTCGCGTGCAATCAGAGTTTTCGAATTTTACTGTAACCGATAGTATGAATTATCTAGCTGGACTAAGTTTGCGTACCCGATCCTGAGTATCGATACGATTTAACCCCAGTTTATCAACATGTCTTGTCGTGTGTTCCCAGCTATGTACATAACGCTTTCAATCTGTTAGTGTCATACTAGGTGATTCATTAGGCTGGAAGCACAGTGTTGAGGAAAAAATTCAGTTGCCATGGATTTGCCCTTGAATTCGATTAAACCGTGTCAGATGGCAGTGGGTGATCAAAACTCATGTCAATTCACACACTTACTAAATGGTCTGTGTATCTGGTGCGGAAAGCCGAGCGTTCTGTTTTCACATTTCGCTGTTCGATGGGTAATTTGGATGTGAAAAGATCAGTGCCAGTGGTGTGGCCCCGTAGCTCAACTGATAGGGCGTGCACGTACAAAGCGTGGGCGGCGTCCATGCGTGGGTTCGAATCCCAACGAGGCTCCTGAACTTTTCACAATCGTCATATAGAGGAAAGATGACAAATCACATTTGGCCTGGCTGAACGCATCACGTTTAAGTTCTCGATAATCGTGCGAACAAATCAACCCTCTTAATCCGCTAGATGAAAAACCTGCAAGTTTATCTATGAAACCATGCACTATTTTCTACAAACCGAGTTGGTTCAAACACAGTCCGCAAGACGCCAGTGATCACAGAGAAGATCAGTAATAATGTGTGATATTTACACAACCGCCCAGTTCAATTCAGAGTAGAAAAATGTCACTACTTTCCACCTTTATGAGAGTTAGCTCGTTTACACAATATTTCGTGGTAACACATACAGGAAATATACTGCAAAGTGGCATCCGCGGTGCCACTGAACCTTTTCTCGTATTCGATATTCAGTATTACGACGATTATTTTACCGACCCAGTACGGAGTTATCATCGCTTGTGGGTTCATGGATAACTGTAACTCATTCATATCACCGCCTGTCTCATTCACTAAATTATAAATGATCGCACAGATGTAACCAGTTGTAATGATTGTAGTAGTAGTAGTAGTAGTAGTAGTAGTAGTAGTAGTAGTAGTAATAGAAGTAGTAGTAGTAGTGTTGTGAGATACTACTCACTTGTGAGTAGTCGGTAACTTTCAATGATTAAAAATAGAACAAGACCATCATGGACCAAGTAATATATTTGGGAAGAATAAACACTGTCTGCTGTACCCATTGCCCCATGTGTCGCGATGTGCTGCGAAGGCATGTTTCTGATGAGCGTTTCGTGTTATGCATGCACAATTAGTGACCCTCAATCTATATTCTGCAATTGGTGCCGTCGCCAGGATCAGGATGAAGGTTCCGTAGCCAGCAACCTTCGAGGATGGGGATGTGCGGATGTTCCTGGAGGAGTTCGAGGACGTGGCGAAGTTGGCCGGAATACGGACGGATCGCGGCAAGTTGACGGCCCTCCGAGCGCTCCTCAA